AGAAATATGGGGTAAATATGGAGTAAAGTAATACCAGTACACATGCACACACGAAAAGAAACAAAATATTACCTACTAACTTTGATTTAAGCTGCTTGTTATGCAGCATCAGGTTTTCAGGCATCATGTTTCTTGTGCACACATTTTCTAAACTGAACAAGCTTGAATCAAAACAGTGAATGTCTTATTTTTTAGATGGCACCTTAGATAATTTACCATAACATTACAGTTAATTTTATACCAGTGATCTTTTTTAATATACAATTGAAGTCAGAACTATTAGCCCTACTGAATTATTAGCCCCTGTATATTTTTTCCTCAATTTCTGTTGAACGGAAAGAAGATTTTTTTAACACATTTCTAAACATAATAGTTTTAATAACACATTTCTAATAACTGATTTATCTTTGCCATGATAACAGCACATAATATTTTACTAGATATTTTCAAGATACTAGTATTCAGCTTAAAGTGCCATTTAAACGAGGTTAATGAGGTTAATTGGGGAAGTCAGGGTAAATAGGCAAATAATTGTAGCAATAGTTTGTTCTGTAGACAGTCAAAAAAAAAAAAAAAAAAAAAATATATATATATATATATATATATATATATATATATATATATATATATATATATATATATATATATATATATATATATATATATATATATATTGCTTAAGAGGGCTAATAATATTGACCTTAACATGGTTTTTGAAAAATGTTTAAAACTGCTTTTATTCTAGCCGAAATAAAACAAATAAGACTTTTCCAGAAGAAAAAAACATTGTAGGAAATACTGTGAAAAATGTCTTACTCTGTTAAACATAATTTGTAAAATATTTGAAAAAGAAAAGATAGAGACATTTGATAGGCAACATTCAAAATGAACTACAGATGTTTTAGTTTCTCTGCGCTATTAACTTCCACTAACAAGATATACCAAAGCTTGACATGGCTTTTAATGTTAGCCATTTGAAGAGCTGCGAAGGGCCATCTGGTTCCACTCCAAGAAGAACCTCTTACTTCAAATCCACACCAATTCCAGTTTATCAAACATTTAATTTTATGAGCAAGAATTAAGTCCAGGATTATGTGTTTCGAGACTGATCATTTTCCCAAGACAATGAAACAGCAATAAATCTGGAATAGTCATTGGGCTTTGTTTATTTGACTTGTGCGCAATCAGCTAATGCCTTGATAGCTAATTAGCTGGCTAGATATCCATTGCTTGGGCACTGTAAGCCTCTTGCTAATCCGATTAGCTAAAAAGCTTATAGGTGGATTGATTTTGTGTGCTCCAAAAAAGATCAAGACATTGTGAATAGCTCCAAAAATACAATTAACGATCCTAATAAACAAAATGTATATAGGTTATGGGTTAACAATACTTTTGAGTCAGCAAGTTTTTTTGTTTTTGTTTTTTTGTTTTTACAAAATATTTTAACTAAAACAACACATTTGCATTTGAGAAACTGCATTTGAGTATTTTACCAGATTAGTTCTGTTTGTAAGGAATTCACAATTTTATATTAATTAGGATCATTTTATATGGCAGTGCATCTGTATGAAATATAATAAACAAATTACATGCAGATCTAAAAACAATAAGGCAAACATACTGTGCTTTATGGTTTTTAGGAAGTCTGATTTAGGTACAGGAATTTAATAACTTTAATAAAAGTCTTAACTATGAATGTTGATGCTGAAACATTATATTGAGCAGCCCTGAAACGATTATTCAATAAATTCTCAACAACAACCAGGAATAAGCTTAAACTTACAAACCACTTAAAACTACACAAAGTCGGCACATTATTAAACCAAGTTTACATGACATTGCTGAGTGAAAAACAAGTATGAATTGCCAAAAAATTTTTATATTTGTGAACAACTGAAAATATAAATTGTATTTTAAAGCTAAGATGACATACAGTATACTATAGAACTCTACAATACCTGCAATGATGTTAGCATTCCCATTCAGTTCAATGACAAATGCTAGGCTAACGCATGATCCACTGTTAGTATACAAACTGGAGGCTGCCATCTTTGCTGCAGAAAAATTTGTCATGTGACTGATCACCTGCCAAAGATAATATGAAAACAGGGAAATGTGCATTAAAAAAGTTTTTGAATACGAGAACTTATCTTGGACAGACTTTTCTTGCTGATTCACAACCTAATAGTGCTATAGAACATTACAAAGGGATATGTGCAATGTTCAAACAAGGTATATTTCACCCAAAAACGAAAATATAAAAAATTTTTACTCACCCTAAAGTGGTTTCAAAACGTTTATGAGTTGATTTCTTCTGTTGGACACAAAATAAGTTATTTTTAAAAAGCTGAAAATGGTAGACCTTTTCCTATGGAAGTCAATAATTACAGGTTTCCAGCTTTGTTTAAAATATTATTTTGCATTTAACAGAAGAAGGAAAGTCTTTAGGGTTTGAAACAAGTTAAGGGTGAGTAAATGATGACAGAATATCAATTTTTGGGTGAACTATACCCTTTAAGGTTTTATTACTAAAAGGAATTTTATAAAAATGTTTCCAAAAAATAATATCAAATGAAAATGTTTTTTTTTTTTTTTTAAGTCTTAACCTAGTTTTCTTACAAGACATTAAAACTATTTTTATACGTCTCATACATGCTTGTTTAATGTAATTGTAATTTTGACTTCACTGAGACGGAGGGCCTGGTGGTTTTCATGTCTTTCATTAGACAGAGTAACGGCTGCTCAAACATTCAAACCTGCACATGACACAAACAAATGTTCCCAGACCAGCAGGAGCCACATTCACATTAGTTAAGGTTTTCTGTCTTTCATTTTTTTTTTTTGAATATTCATTTTATATTTTATGCACACAGCAAGGAAACTTTTCCATTTCAAAATTTTTCTTTTAAGAATACCAAAGGACTTGTTTTTGATTTTACATATTAAATATTTTAGGTAATGTGAATACTTTTAATGGCTTTGGATCTAAGACGGCACATAGATTTTATTTTGCATTATACTGTTCCATAAATGCAAAGATAATTAATTTTAATTTTTAAACAATTTTAGGCTATTAACAATATGAAGTGTGTTAAATATCACATTAAGTAGGTTTCCTAATCTATTAAAGGAAGGAAGAAAGGAAGGAGGGAAGGAAGGAAGGAAAGAGGGAAGGAAGGAAATGCCAGCATATAAAAAGATAAATACTTCAGTGCTTTTTTAACAATTTAAAATCTTAATATATTATTTTAATCAAAACAAACCAATCAATCAAAGCAATAATAACACTAGAAAAATAAAACACTAACATTTTGGTCACAATTTACACTCACTTTCCTTTGGCTTAGTTTCTGATTTTTCAGCTAAATAAATCACTTTACACTTAAGCTCTATTAGTTATTGTTAATTAATGTATTTACTGACATAAACTAATAATGAATGTACAGCGTTTATTAATCAGTTCAGCCTTCACTAATGTGCTATTAAAATCCAAATTCATGCTAACATTAGTTTATGCACTGTAAGTTAACATGATTTAACAATGAACAACTTAATTTCCATTAGCTAGCTTTGTAATAAATTTGTTGTTTGTATTAGTATAATAAGTTTAAAAAAAACATTATCTAAGACAACATTATATTTTAATAGTTTATCTGAAATTCATGTGAACATTATGGAACCATAAACATCCAAATAAGTGAAATAATAACTTCAATTTGAAGCAAATATTTGTTTAAAAGAACAGAAAAATCCATGCATTGCATAAACAAACATGGTAAATCTAAAAGGAATTTTAGTCCAGATTTTAAGAACTCGTAAATACTTACGACTAAATATTACATTTTTGGAATCTGTGTAAATAATCTAGCTACCCGAAACTGCAATGAGGGATTTTAAATGAGCGATTTTAAATTGAAACAACACTTGTTTTTCCAACGTAATTTGGTTCAAACTTTATGGGACAAAGTATTATCTTGGATAAAACAGAAAATATCTGTAAAACTTATCTTCTCATGGAAAATTATTGAGTTTGGGTTAATACTTAAGGATAAAAACATATATCTTATATAAAGAATAATTTGTTAATATTATAAAAAATATATATTCATAAATGTACATTTTTAAAAATTCCCCCAAGGCTAGTGGTGTTTAGAGAAGAATTTGTGATTAAGAAAAAAAATAATTTAAAAAGCAAGTTATATTTGTCAGATGATTTTGTTTTTATATTTTGAGAACTCTATTAGTACTTAACTTTCTTTATCATTTATTTTATTTTGTTATTTTTATTTACTCAATATTGTATTATTTTTATTGCTAATAAGGGTGGAAAGATTGTGAATATGCAATGATTGTGATCTTTTGTGTCATTTTTTAAAAAGTAGGAGGAATGCCAAGTGAATTTATTTTTGTTCATAATATATATATATATATATATATATATATATATATATATATATATATATATATATATATATATATATATATATATATATATATATATATATATATATATATATATATATAATGAACAAAAATAAATATACCGTATATTTCAATCTTGAATAATGTTCTCAAGCACTCAATCTTTATTCCAGAGATCGTCAACACTCCAGCAGAAATATTACAGCCAACAGCACCCTCAACTGTTTACTTCATAGAAGTTAAGTTATATTTTCATTTAGAGACGTTTTTATCTCCCAATTTGTTTTAAGAAAAAAATACGACGTGCAAAATCAAAACATAAAAATAATACTAACAAGAAACATGTTTAAAAAATGCAGTGCAGATTAAAATAAAAACATTTGTGTGGGTGACACTGTCGATTAAACAGCACCAAATCTATTTATTGACTAATTTCCTAAAGTCAGTCATTCTCTCTCTCTCTCTCTCTCTCTCTCTCTCTCTCTCTCTCTCTCTCTCTCTCTCTCTCTCTCTCTCTCTCTCTGCTAAAATACTTTGAACATAAAGGCAGGGCGGGGGAAGGGAGGATTTGGCTGGGGGAGGGGCTGTTGTCATAGGACAGAGGGAGGTTGTGCAGAGTTGCATAGAAGAAAAAAAGAAGAGGCAAGAAACAAAAAAAAAGAGTGTGAAGGCATGGCAGCGTAAAGCCTGGAATTTACTTACAACTGCTACATTGCAATGGAGATGCACAAAGCACTGGTATGTTCCTTAATGCATGTAAAATACTGTTTATATTTCAATCTTCTCTGCTATTCACCATGACGAAGTTACTAGCCGTTTGCATATGAAGTTAAAGTGAATGAGAGGGTAAAATGCATAATGTTTAATGGTAACGTTACGTGCATAGTGCTGATTCGTTTTCATGTTATTTTTAAATGTGAATTTGTGTGTTTAGTGTAGCTGTGTTTAAAAAAATGTTTTGAAACTATCATTTATTATATTGTTTGATATATAATGCAAAATGGAGTAATTATTTATTGTGATATGCAAAGTGTAGTAATAATTAATTCTTCTTTCAGGTTTCTGTGTTTATGAACAATGGTGGGAAGACTTTTGCACATCATTAGCTTTTACAATCAACTCACAAAAATAAGCTGATACAGAATTCTGGTTAAAACAGCATGGTGAGTGCAAAAGAGCAAACAGACATGTGCATTAATAATTACATTTTTGTTTTGTGCATATGTAAATGTGTTCATGCTGGACAAGATTCTCCTGGTAATGTGTGTGTTCAGCAGTAGCCAGAGAGAGAGTAATGACTTTAGCAGCTGTTTCTTTGCTCTCATCTCAAGAGTCTCTTCACTTTTTCTAGGACAAATAGTAAGTCTTGATTATTGGCTGATGCACTGATAAAAATAAAATATAAAAATTAAAATCTTTATTGTGTTAAAATTAAGTTTTTTGCCCATCAACATTGAATCAAAGTTCATTTGCAGTTCATGTAATTGGGTAATATTGTGACTGATTTAGCATTGCAGATTTGTTTGCTATTTGATTTGTTAGAAAAGTCATTGTGTGATGTACAACTTGGAGTGTGTGTGTGTGCTTGTGTGTGTGCAGAGGATGTGCTTTGTAAATAGATCCCAGGCTGAATTCTTAGCATTCCGTGTGCAGCCGTATTTATGGATGGGATCCTGTCTCTTCAGTGGAAAGTGTGTGAAATGGAGGGAAGCAGCAAAAGATATAAAGATAACACAGAAACAGCCATAGGCATTAACTATTCGGAATGAACAAGAGCATTTATGCGTAGCAAGGATTTGTTGGATTAGCCAAAAATCTTGACTCCAGAACTGTGGTGAATATAGTAATGTTGATGTATATTTGTTTAAAATGCTCTTAGTGTGCCGTCAGTCTCCTACTCTAGCTAGAACTTTACTGTAATCTGCCGATTCTAATCTGTCTTCATCTTCCAGAAGGCGAAAATAGACACACGTGCACACACACACACCCACTTATACTGTGTAAATATAACTCTTCAGTTAATCCAGCGTTCAGCACTGTTCGCTTTTTTAATTTGTCTTTAAATCATCAGAATGTGTGAGAAGGATGATGTGCGCACTGATTATGTGTTACTGAGATTGCACAGATTAAGACGCAAAGAATAGATCACATCTTGTCCAGATTACTAAGAGGTTCCATATGGTGAATTCTTGCTGCAGTCCAGTTGTGAAGTTGAAACGGTTTTGCCTCTACCACAATTACAACAAAGTAAGTGTCAGAAGGAAACAATACACCAGATGAAAATAGAGAAAGATCTTTAATGGGACTGTTTACTTTTTTAAAAGTTAAATTCAGTGGTCAATGGGATGCCAAGTAGTACAGGTTTTCTTTATTTTTAGGGTGTATCTTAGTATTCTGTCCATTTTTTAACAGCTATCTTTTTAAATAGTCGGGGAGAGTGTGGGCAGTAGTAATATCAAGGTATCCGTGGGATCCTAAAAAGCCTTACATCTACTAAAATGTTGTGTTGTAGGTCTTAAATCTTTTTTAACAGGTCTTAATTTTCCTTGGTTCGTGTATAGCTACCCAATTTGGCCATAACATCCATAGAATCACCAACAATCCCAATCTTAATAAAACTTATATCTCTTTATTTAAAATTAGAATTTAATTACTTTCCTTACGGTAACATTTGTTTAAAAGTTCTCTTTTTTTACTGATGGTGATATTGACCTGACCTAGATTTTTATTTTTAAATTATTATTATTGTATTATTAAATGTATTAAATTATAATCAATTATTAATAGGGCAAGTGAAAATCTTTTCCAACTGGGATATTCGAATAAAATCCTTAGTGTTTTGCCCTGAAAAAGTCTAAAATTTCATTCATAATGGTCTTAAAAATATCTTAAAATGTATTAAATTTAACTTGGTGAAACCTGCAGAAACCCTGAACATGGGGCAGTTGCAACAAGACTTAATCTAGCTCATTCAGGAAGCTAGAATGATGATATTCATATCACATACTCTCAGTTAGACTCTCCTTCAGTCTCAGAGAAATCAGCCAAATGTAACCGTTCCTTCAGTATAAAACCCTTTTTTAGTAAAAAAAAATTGTTTTTAAATGTTCGGAAAATTTCTCATACTGTCTAATCTGTTTTTGTGAAATATTATTCAGTTGTACAATTTAAATCATTGTTTTCTTAGCTTTACATAGGTATAGCTTTCAAGCGTTAAAGCTATTGTATCTCCCTAGCATAGACAGTTTAATCAGGGTTGACATGATGCTGCAACTGTCCAAAATTACAAAATTCATGTAAAACATGGTCATATTAACAATGTAAAATTTAATTGTATTTTTCAGTGTTGGGTTGTGGCTGGAAAGTGCATCCGCTGCTTAAAACATGTGCTGGATAAGTTGGCAGTTTATTCCGCTGTGGCGACCCCTGATTAAAAAAAAGAAAAGAAAATGAATGAATGAATTTAGTTTTATCACAGATTCAAATGTAATTTAATTTTTTTTTAAATAATGGATTAATTAATTCATTTCAAAGTTCGAAGAAGCTTCAGTCTAGATTTTTAGTAATTAAAATTGTTTTGTTCAGTTTTTTTAAGCCTGATAATTGGTTGTTGCTTGTTCTTTTAATAGTCTGTATTTATATGGACAATTTAACACATTCAGCTAGTTTACATTTTGAAAATAACATCCAACCTGATGTTTTAGAATTTTTTTATTATTACATGTTCATAAATGTTGCAACTCTCCCTTTGGGTTGTTGCAACCATCCCCTTGCTTGGGGACAGTTGCAATGTTTGATTTTGTCTTTTCAAGTTAAATTTTGCATATATTATCATATGAACACATATTATAGCAATGTGTGTGGGATCTATCTATCCAATAGATGTGGGTTTACTATATAAAAATTATCTGAGAAATTGCAGAAACAGCAAAAAAAATTCCACACTTCCCTACTATCTGCTGCAAAATTGGTATTCATATGCAGAATATTATGCATTTTTATTTAAATTCCTACAAAGTTTATTTTGCTTATTTTTTAAACAAGAAATAAAATGTAATATATATATATATATATATATATATATGTATATATATATATCAATAATATAATAGAATAATTACACAATACATCTTTATTTTTTTTATTTTTTTGTAGACTGTCTCTTTAAAAACCTCCTTAAGTTGGCTTGTGCAGTTAATTCCCAATGATGAATTTATTTATCAATAATGATTGATTGATTGATTCAACTCAAAAATCTTATTCAGAATTTTCATTTTTGGGTGAATTATGTGTTTCAATTCTTCCTTTATCTTTCTAATGGATTCATAATGAGTAAAGTAATGGAAACTTACATTATATTGTTTTATTATTTGTCTTTTCAATTTGTCTTTTTCAATATTTGTCTTTTTTCATTCATTCGTTTTCTTTTCTGCTTAGTCCCTTTATTAATCTGGGGTTGCCACAGACGAATGAACCGCCAACTTTTCCAGCATATGTTTTACACAGCGGATGCCCTTTCAGCTGCAACCCATCTCTGGGAAACATCCATACACACTCATACACTACAGACATTTTCAACCCAAGCTCATTCTGAAACGTAGCCCCGTGGACATTTCTGGAGACCGCGATTACGTGTGGCCGGAGGTACATATGGCCGCATTTGGTTTTTTCAAGCGAACGCTATGGTGACGCTCCTATTCGAATTCACCAGCTGATGGCTCGCCTTCGTGTGGAGAGCTTTCCCAACACAACCAGTCTTACCGGTTAGCTCGTCGTGTTATGTCGGTGAAAACAAAATCTGCACAAATACGTACCTCCTGGGACTTGTGGGGGAAATCAGAGCACCTGGAGGAAACCCAAGCGAATGCGGGGAGAACATTCAAACTTCACACAGAAATGCCAACTGACCCAGCTGAGGCTGGAACCAGCAACGTTCTTGTTGTGAGGTGACAGCACTACCTACTGCGTCACCGCGTCACTCAATAACTTCTTTTAAGGTTGCTAAATGAAATGTAAACTATCTATTTAAAAAAAGATCATACCCAATGCTCTTTAAACATATACAGTGGTAAAGAAACCTATAGATTGCATATAACTGTATCACTTTTATTTTATTTCCAGGTGTGGTAATGATGCAGTGGTCATCCGAGTGGGCGGAGCAACACTATGATGTCTCCTCCACCACATCTCCACCAGTTCATCCTAAGCCCCTCCCATTTCCTCAGCCCAGTCGTCCTGCATTCTCTGGCTACAGTGATGACATCAGTGCGCTCAGTGCCTCCAGCTTACTAAAGCGCTACGCCGAGAGGTACTCCTTCAACTCTGCCCTACCAGAACATGGGAGTTTCCTGAGAAGTGAGCAGCCCCAGGAGCCATGGCCAGGGGGGTACAGCACAGAGGGGCCTGCTGGTTTAGACCCACTGAAGGCCAGCGGAAGTGATCTCTCCGAGCCACAATACAGCAGTGCTCCCACTCAAGATTACCCTTCATCTTACAGCAGTCAGCATCTTCTGCCCAAACCATCCTATCTTCCATCACCAGCGTTTGCCTTGCCATCTGCATACTTGCCCCCTGCACCAGGCTACGCTTATCCCCAACAGTGTTACCCCCACAACACCCCATCTCTTCTGACCTCGGGTCTGCACACCCCTACACCTCTCCACGGGGCAGCTGAACTCCCACGAAACCGGAAGATCGGCTTCGACCAGTCCAAAACTGCCAGAGTGTCACCTTACACAATCAGGGATAAGAGTGAACGGCAGAATGGTGACAGCGGTGGAAGTGTCAACGAAAGCTGTGGGACGGACATCCAGAGCTATAGGCCAGAGAGACTTTCCACTCTGCCCGATCTCGAGGCAGATGCTGAGGGTAAGAGCAGTCACCTGCGGCCTCTGGAGACACGCTCTTATGGAGGTCCAGGACAATATACGTATCCCTGAGTCTACTTGATGTAGCCAGTTGATGCTTTTTTTATACGTTTATAGCAATACTTGAATGTATTAAACATCAGGACGAATGTTACTGTGGTACTGTGGTAAAATTTAATTGTAAAATCAGAAACTCCATAACAGAGCCATTTTTCATTCCCCAAAGAACCTGTCAGTGAACAGTATTCAGTTCTGTAAAGAACCATTTTTATGCAAGGAACAATGGCAAAATCTAATGAACCAGTAGAAAGATACCATGGATGCTCAAGCTAAATTTTAAATCGTCATTATTTAAGGCACAGATATACTTCAAACAAAATCAACAAACTAAAATGACGTAATTTCAAACAAAATCCAGGCAAATCGAAGTTATTTGGAGTACATTTTGGCAGTTTGAAGCAGCTGACCAAAGCAAACTTTTGGGGGAGTTCGTTTTAGCTCCTTTTTAACTTGTGTTAAACACCTTTGAGCTCCCATTGGTCAATGACGATAAGGCAATCAGTGGCTGTAACTCCGCCTTCTTTGATCCAGACAGGAGAACAACATCCAATTGCTCTGACACCAGACAAGAAGCCCACCTTGTTGCACCACATCTTTTTCATGAATTTGCGCACACCGGCGGCAAATAAAAAAAAAATAATAATAATAATAATTCCTTACGTTTATATAGCTCTTTTCTGGACACTCAAAGCGCTTTTAACGATGGGGGAATCTCCTCATCCACCACCAGTGTGCAGCATCCACCTGGATGACACGATGGCAGCCATATTGCCGCACACCACACACCAGCTGATTGGTGGAGAGGAGACAGAGTGATAAAGCCAATTATGATATAAGGATGGTTAGGAGGCCATGATAGACAGAGACCAGTGGGCAAATTCGACCAGGATGCTGGGGTTAAACACTACTCCTCTTTGATGGACATCCTGGAATTTTGAATGACCACAGAGAGTCAGGACTTAAGTTTGACGTCTCAGAAAAACAGCGCTCATTGAGCAGTATAGAGTCCCCATCAGTATACTGGGGCATTAGGACCCACATAGACCGAAGGTTGAGCACCCCCTGTTGGCCTTTCTAACACTATTTCCGGCAGCAACCTAGCTTTCCCATGTGGTCTCCCATCCAGGTACATACCCCTGCTTAGCTTGAGTTAGTGGCCATATAGGAGTTGCAGATAGCTAGCTGCCAGAAATCAGTGTAAAAATGTGATGCACTTCTTGTGTAGATGGCTGTTTGCTAGATGTTTATGAAACTGTTCTCTCTCAGCCACCATTGTTGTATTTAGGGCTAAATGACACATTTACAACCCCACCCACTAGAGCTAGGGGTGTCAGAGGGTTTCAAACAGTACTTCGTCAATCAGTCATTAATGATACAGAATGATATAGAACATAGTTTGAAGTATATCAGGGTCTTCATTCACCTTTCACATGTTTCAAACATGTTTGAGTTTCTTTCTTCATGTGAACACAAAAGAAGATTGTGGTAGAAGAATGTGGTAAACTCGCAGCCAAAAATGGTAGTCAGTGGATACCAGTTTACAACATTCTTCAAAATTTATTCTTTTGCATTCGTGAGGGTGATTAAATAATGATTCATTTTCCATTTTTTTGGGGAGCGAACTATCGCTTTATTAGAGGTTCTTCAGAAAACCATAAAACAACATTTTTAAAAGTTTATGAAACTTCAGATTGGGAAGATTTACTGATGTCTCTTTAATCAACATTATCATTATTCCTTACTGCCACTTTAACGGGACCTGTGGCACAGATACTCTTTTGTATCCTCTTTTTGTATTCTCTTCCTTTCCTCTTTTCCTCTTTCTGTCGCTCTATAATTATGCTGTGCAGTGAAGCACGTTATGGTGGCAAGCACTAAACCACCGCTTCAATCAATGAAATCCAAGCCAAAGGAAGACTGAAAGAGAGGAACGGAAAAGAAATAGAAGAAATAATGAACAAAAAAATGAAGCTGCGTTAAAGCACACATTTGAAAGTTTCATGTCACACGTGTAATATATGGTTCTCATTCTATTTGTATGTCAGTGGTGATAGTCATGGATGTTCTCCAACACTGAAGTCCGTGAGCTAAAAACACTCATATTTTAGGAATATTATGTAAAATTCCTCTATAAACTTTGAATGTAAAGCCGATTTTCCTCAGGAATTGTGAATGAAGCCATACTTTATGTTTATCTTATACAAATTTTAAGTTTTTAATGTCTAGTTAGTGTAGTTTTTTTGTTGTTGTCATGTCTGTCATTAAAATGAAATGTATTTGTAACTTTACTTACAGTATTTCAATGATTAAACAACGACTCGCCGTTTTTTTTACAAACTGCATAATCCTAGCTTTCCCAGGGCTGCTGCAAAAAAAGGCTAAAGGGATTTTTCGCAGTCTTTTCCACTATTCACCTATTGTGAGGTTTACTATGGGAACCCGCAGAGCAGTCCCAGCCCCCTGAGTTGATCACTGGATGTGTTTTCCTCTGACCCTCTGACCCTTCTCTGTTTTAAATGAGGCATGCAAAAGAATAGAGAGCTTTTGTTATGGTGAGGCACGCTGGACATACACTGAAATGTACAAACTGAACTGAAAATGACAGTTTAGTTAATATTTAATTTTGATAAATGTGTCAAATGTAACACTCACAAACGCATTACATGGGACAAAATCATGTTACTTCATAAATATACAATACGTTCTACCTCACGGTTACAATTCTGAATGTTCAAAGTATGCAATTGTGTATTACATGTTTAAATGTCTACCTCAAGAAAAAAACACAAAATAAAATCTATCATACCAATACAACACTTTTTCACTGTGTGTGTGTGTTTGTGTGTGTGTGTGTGTGTGTCTATAATTTAAAAACTATTTTTATGATTCTTATTCTCATTTAAAATAACAATTTTCTATTTTAAGATTCAATCCAATCTTGTGAGGCTAATGCTGAATTATATAGACATTGTTCCTTTAGAAACCATTATAAAAGTGTTATGGAAGCATTTAATATATCGTTAAAACGTATTAAATTTGAAGACAGCTGTACTTCTTGAAACATGATTTTATAAATAGGGATTCTTTGATATTTAGAATTTCTCACAAAAAAGTGATGCATGTTTAGCTCCCGTCACTTTCAAAAATGTAATATAAGCTCTGTTGTTGAGCTATGCTCAGACAGGCTGATAGGTCATGCTTAATCTGCTCCCACACCAACGATATGGCACAAGATTTCGGGGCCCTAAGCTATTCCATTATGGGACACAAGTCCTGAAGTGCCCTTTTTTTCCATATCACTCAATCTTCTTTTAAAATAATGCATTGTATACATTTTAAATGATTAGTTTTCTTAAAATGAATTTACAACTATAAACAATGGATATATATTTTTAGCAATTTGATATTTTATTTTGCAATATTATTACATAACAATTATAATAATAATAATTTTTAATAATGTTCTCACTATACAAAATATGGTAGAAAATGATGTAATATATAGTTTAAAAGCAAAATTTATACTTCTATATATTTATTGAGGGCCCCTAGATTTCCTGGGGCCGTAAGCGGCTGCTTACCTCGCTTATTGGTTAAATCCGCCCCTGGTTACATATGTATTATGTTTGCAACAGTAGTGTGTTATATTGCATTGTGACTGCATGTCTGTGAATAAACTGGTAATAGCAAGTCTTAGAATTTGATCTGCCATAATAATCAAAGCAGCAGCAGCAGCATGTAGCAGATCCATGCCTCCAAGACCAAACACATCAACATTGCCAAATACATATTCATCACCATGCTAAATCTCTCAGAGAGTTGTCATGACAGAAACATATATGTATTGATATATATATATATCTATCTGATTTCGACAATGTCTGCTATTTACATCTGCATTGTCTGCTCTCCTTCTCAAAAGCATAGTGGTTTAAATATATTTCTACAATCTGCTAGTATTAAAGGCTTTCCCAGGCTTTACAGTAAACAGTATTTATGCTTGAGTTTGCATTAGCGCTATGGTTCCATAAGGGCCAGTTGCACAGCTGGTGCCGTCAGGTCACCTTGTAGCCTGTCCAGGATGACATTCACATATCATGCTCTTTAACTCCCAACAGCAATCACAACCTTATGCCTGTGCAGATGTGCCTCCGTATAAGCTATTAAATCATGTGATCCTTCAAGGAAAAGGTCAAGGTGATTTTGTGTAGTGGTAAAATACTTTCAATATTATTTTTTTTTTTTCATTTTATTATGTTGTATTTATGCATATCACAATATAAAAATAAAATATAAGGTAAAATCTGCAAAAAAGAGTTCATTATACAGATAGAATCTCACATTAAAAATAATATAGTAATTTATAATATTTATAGTATACTATATATTATAATATTATATACTTAAATGTTTTAAACTATTTAATATAATGTATTATTATTATCAAATATACTGCCCTTTATTAATGAATTCTACAGCATACTGTATTAAACATTGGAAACTGTTAAATTAATGAACACTGTAGTACTTTGGCTTTTATTTCAATAAATTGTGGTACATTTAGTACAGTATTGGGCAATTTGTTCATATAGTTGTTGTATTGCCACAGCAGATGAATTCATGTACATTACTATAAATCTTAAAAAAACACTATAGTATACTATAATAAATTATAGTATTTTTTTCATGAGGGATAACAAAAGAAACTACAGTTTTATACATTGCTGTATTGCACATAAGTACTCACAATAAACTTTTATTCAGAATAAACAACAGTTTTCAAACTAATTAAACTGCAAAAGAATAATGAAGTAGCATTAACAATGAGAAATTAAAGTTATAAGCATTACTAAACTAATAACTCAGTAATGACATTTGATTGATAAACATTATTACATTAACATAAGTTAAATTTAATTAATAAGTTGCTTTTATCATCAGTTTAATAGCAATGTAACAAATGGAGCATTAATTAGGCTATTATAAAGTGCTTGCTAACAAACAACATGCACACAAAGAACCAGAACATTTTCAATTCAATACCTCTGGAATGTGACAGGCCAGATTAACATGTTAAAATATGTTAAAAATATGTTTATATTTGGCAAGATGTAGGCTGTTAACTCTTCAAGCAAATATTAACAGTATTTTGAAGTGTCCAAAATAACAATCACGATTTATGTGACCATGGACCACAAAACCAGTAATGACAAGTGATTTTTTTTTTTTTGGAAACTGGGGTTATACATTATCTCATGAATAAACAAGTTTTCCATTGATTTATGTTAGGATTTATGCTTGGGCAAGAGTAGAAAATCTAGAATTAGACCTTTAGAATGTATGGCCTTTAAAGTTGCACATTACTAATCAGAACATATTTTCATATATTTACAGTATAATATTTTACAAAATATCTCCATGGAACATTATCTTTGCTTAATTTCTTATTGATTTCTTGCATAAAAGACAACTAGATCGTTGTGACCCATTACATTTGACTAATGCCAAAAAGATGCCCGTGCGACTCGCGAGGTGTTGTGTTCCAGGGTCACATGTTATATAATTAAATAACTCCACATCTGAAGTTGTAGTAGTATTTGTAATTTTCCAGTCATTTGTGCCATTTAAACAGCGTATTGTACATGTATTGCCCTCTAGTGGACGATTGGTATTTTAAAAACCCTCACAAGTAGCTACCTTTCGTTATTTTTTATTTCACATTTTCTACTCATTTTGGGATGTCCTCTACACTCAAACTGAACGCTAAACACAGATGCTGACTTCTGACTCTTATTGTGACCCCGCACCCAAAACAGCTCCCTGCAGTCAATGAGCAGCAGAGTGTGACAGATGCTCCATTCTCTGCGTCCTCCCCCACCGGCGGCGCGCATAGCTTTCAATACCGTCTTCGACTCAGTGTGTGAGCCGTTTAATCTTACACACTCGTCAGTTCGGTCTTTCATCGTAAAGATCAACATCTTTGTGCAGTCTAAGACTAGTTTTGAGAACGACTCTTGGTCTGCACGTTGAAGTGCCCACTTGCTGTATTATTTTTAGCTAGCCCATTATATGATTACTATTAGCCTAGTTGTTTTTTTATTTTATTCATTTTTTTATTTTATTTTACGCCCTTATAATTGCAACATTGTCCACTCAACATGGCAGAAATACCAATGCTCATACTAGTTTTACAACAGATTCTGCTCTGTGTATACATTGATACTGATAAAACGGTCTCCTGTAGATGCATTTACTCACCATCATGTCCCTGCACACATTTCTTTTTTTCTTGTTCTGCGGAAAACAAAAAAGATAACATTTAGGGCCCTATCATACCAGCAGGCACAGAACGTCAACATGACGTCAGATTGAGGTTGTACCCCAACGTCGTTAGACATTGCATTTTGTTTGGAAATGAAAATCGGGTTGATGTCTGAACCCAGCGTCGGACAAATGTTGCATTTTGTTCACTTTACAATGCAACCTAAAATCAACAAAATATCAATGTCTAGTGCTGTTACAGCTTGACGTTGTTTAAACGTTACCTATATGATGTCTATCAGACGATGGATTATGGTTGCCATCCCTGACAAATAAATGTCAGTATTTGATGTAAATATGATGTTGGATTAAGATGTTGGCTAGATATTGGAATTTGGTCACTTTCCAACACAACCTAGAAGCAACCAAGCATCAACGTCATTTCATGTCATTATTGGACATCATAATAATATTGTTCTTAGATGCTGGCGGCCAGGGCCGGAGTGGGACTCAGTTCACGACTAACTATATTAAAATAAGGTCATGTCCAATTCAGTTTCTAATTACACTATCACGTCTTTTTCAAGAAAACAGCTGCTTTAGAACTTAAAATGTTCAACAACCTTACAGTTTTATATGTCTTAACAAAAAAATAAAAAATTACTCAGATGAGGATCGAAGATGTTGTAATGCAACGTGCTGAACACTGGACCACAATGGCACTGTTACGCTTGTGTGGCCGGAATGATACTTATATCATCATTACCCTGCAGGCTGCATTTTGCTCATGGGGCTGCGAGACAATAAATAAGAAGAGCGGAGCTGCAGCAAAATAATGAATAAAAAGAGTGAGGCTATGGTCAAATAAATAAATAAATGAAAAAAAGTGTGACTGCTGCAAGCAGCTAGAAAAACCGGCCCTCGCAGCCAAAAAATGGACTGGCCCACCGGGAACTCTCCCAGTCCTCCCGATTGACCAATCCTTGTATTAATGCCTTATGATGTTGTGTCTGCTGGGATACAACTGGTGCTATAAGGTGCAAGGTGTGTATGGTGCAATTTGTTGCTATTTTTAGACCAGCACAGCAGTAATTTTAACGTTTAGTGCCACGTTGTTTAAATAGCAAATCTATTTGCGCCACTTTGTGGACTCATGGGCGTGCTGGTCTAAAAAGGAGGTGTGTTAAGGCTCATTGTTGGCGTGTTGACCAACTAAAAACTAGTCTAGAGTCCACCGCAGAGTGCGTTGGTTATGCGCCTATGCAGGTCCAAACACTTACACATTGCTTAAAACACACAGGATGTACAGTAATGCACACATATCTTTACATATGAAAAAAAATTAAAGGATCAAAATGTTACAAAAATTTGATTTGTCCACCTGTCAGATTTTAGACGTATACATTATCATATGGGTTACAAGAAAAGCATGTATGTTTGTATATAACTTGTTTCTTGACCACACATTATTATTATTTATTCATTTGCTGGAAATTTAGTTGAGTTTAGAAATAATTTTGTAACAAATTTTTGAGCTTAACAAACTAAATTAAAT